CTTAGGAACACTGAGGCAAAGAACTCATTGAGGAGTTCAGCCTTGTCCCCTTTGTCCGTCACCAATTGTTTCTGCCCATTTAGCAGGGGTCCTATTCCTCCCTGGGCCTTCCTTTTACTCCCTATATATCTAAAAAACAATTTCTTGTTGTCCTTTACTTGGGATGTCATCCTCAGCTCCATGGTAGGTTTGGCCCATCTAACTGCCTCCCTACAAGCTGTTAGTAAACAATACTCAGCATTGTCTATTCAGGCCAGTAGAGATGCGTGGATACATTGGTCCAATATCAGATAGGTACCAATATAAAGAAAATTTGCTGTATCAGGTACTGATGGGGCTGATAATATAGCCGATAAATGCCCGTGCTGCGCGCAGTCACAGTGCAACACGGAGCAGAGCCAGCAGCATGGAGAGCTGCCTCCAGCTAGTAAGTCAGAAGGGGAGCAGGGAAGGAAGAAGCTTGGAGGGGCAGATCAACAGCCCCATGGTGAGGGAGGGAGGGAGCAGGGGCAGGGTCTGCCCAGGATGGGCGGCAGGGACAGTGGGATGGTGGCGTGGCTCATGAGGGTGGGGGGGGCGGCTCCCGCTGCTGCTTGCACCATGGGAGGGCAGTGGGGGTGTGCCCCCCCAGATCTGCATAGGGTGGGGGGGCGGGCTGGAGCCAGCAGTACAAAGGGCTCTTCTTGGCAGGGGCTGGGCTCAGAGCAGGCACCAGTGGTGTTGCAAGGGAGCTGCAGTCACTCCAAATTTTGCTGCAGCTGTACTTTCAGGACCTCTGCTGCTGCCAGCCACCCAGCACAGCCTTGGCTCTTCCCAATGTGTGGGTGGAGGCAGGACTTGGAGCCGGGCTGTGCCTGGTGACATGGGTCTGGGAGCGGAGCTGCAGCGAAGTTTGGGGTGGGAGCAGCCCCTCCCAGTGCCACTGGCGCCCGCTTCGAGCCCAGCTCCCGCTAAGAAGAGCCCCACACCACAAGCCATGGCTACATCCCACACCCCCTCCCCACGGGCAGTGCCTGCCCCTGCCCCCTCCCTCATTGCAGGGGCATTGATCTGCCCCCCCTGTGGCAAAGTGAGGGTCCCTGACCAGCCACAGTGCTAGTTTCCCCACCTGCCTCTGGGCACGCTGCCCACCTGTTTCAACTGCCATGCCTTGTTGTCACTTAATTGAGGTGTTAATTAAGGCGGGAGGCTGCCCATTCTTGCTCTGATGCCAGGGGGCGCTATATGTGGCTCCGTTCCTCCCCTACACCGCAGCCCAAGCCTCGCAGATGGCATCCGGATGACACTACTCCCAGCCTACAGCCGGACCAAGTTTAGGCCTCGTTGTCAGGCCTCAGACACACACACATTCATACCTCCCTCCTCTCACACTCCATCCCCTCTCACAGGGTCTCTTTCATGCATCGACAACCTGTACTGCCTTGCTCTCTCTTGGAGTGGGCCCCTTAGGCCATAGGCTTTAGCTAGCTCATACCTTGGGTGGTAGACGTACAGTCTTTTGGGCCTCTCCCGTGACCCTCATCGGGGTAGTGACCAGTCAATTACCTGACCAGGTCTAAGCTTGCCAGGCTTGCCCTGGCCCCTTCCTGGGGCAACTCTGTACACTCAGACAATACTAGGCTCCCAGCCCTCTGGTTTTTCCCCTCCCTGGGGCTCCACATCTCTGCCCCCTCCCTGGGGCCATGGGGCTTCCCTCCCTGGTGGGGCTCAGGTGGCCGTAGCCATGCCTGGCCCCTTCTGGGTCTTACAGCGCACAGGGCTCAGATGGCCACAGCTGTGCCTGGCCCAAACTACCTCCGATGATAAATGACACACCCAAAGGTGAGGGATGGGGTTAAGGAGCCCCTACCCACCTTTCTGGGTGGTAACTGGCCTGGCATTTCCTGGGGGCTCTTGCACCACTGAGAGCCCCACCAAGCCACCCACTCCCAGCAGGGTGCAGTTTTAGGTCATGCCCAGGACCAGGAGCCTCCAAGCCACCCCCTACCCTTACCTCCAGGACGTTGCATGCAGCCTTGCAGACAGGCAATGTTTCTGCCTAGCCTTCCAGCAAGGAACTGCTCTGTTTATATAGGTGACCAGAGATCTAAAATGGCGGCCGCAATCAAGCACCTGCTGGCTGCTAGGCTCAGCTCTTAGAGGGGAAGGCACCGACAGTGCCCTGCCACACATCTCCCCCCTTGATGTGGCAGGCACCCACAGGGCCCCGCCCCCCCCCCCCACCCCCCCTCTTCCCCTCCCCCCTCCTCTTCCTCCACAACAGACTTACCACCTGAAGGCAGCTGTATTGGATATCGTATCAGTATTGGCCAATATGCCTCCTTAAATATCAGCTATCAGTATGGGCCCCAAAAATCTCTATCGGTGTACCCCTACTAACCAGGCAACAAAGGGGAAACAGAATCACCCAGATAGAAACATAAAGCCAGATAAGGCCTGAAATCCTAGTTGGAGGAAAAATCATAACAAGTAGGAGAGGGATTCAAGAAAACCTTCCCAGGGCCTCCAATCAAAGGCTTAGCTTTCAGAGAAGTGCAGAACATGAACATCCACTTGCCAGTGTTCTGGGCCCTTTTATACATGACCGGGAGTGTAAACCATGGTACTCTGGCATCCTTTCAGTTTAGTTCATTACATTCTGCCAGGCCAGAACACCACTCTGCCAATCTGTATACAGTATTCTCCGGTTCTGTCCCTATGATACAGAATTATGGGGCCCTGGACAGGTCATCTCCAGAAGCATCAGGTTTCACTGGGGGCTGAGTGAAGTATGCAGAGTGCACAAAAAGCACTCTGTAGTATAGTCTATGGTGTAAATGACTCAGAATCAGGACACTGCAGCTGTCCTGTGCTATGTGAATTATACTGTTGTGACTGGGAATAGCTGCTATATCTAAGATCACTCAATCTTTGGACCTCATATTAAGGATCAGATGCACAAAATCAGATCAGCAAAACACATAAGCACATGTGGGGGCTTGTGGTGGAGGTGATATCTTTTATTAAACCAACTAGATTT